TAGTATCGTGATCTCTTTTTGGTCTTCTAAGGAGTTGTTGAGGGCCTTCTGCCGCCAAGGCTGTAGTGCACCCACAGTGTTTGCGTGTCGCGATGATGGGTCGCGATGGTGGGTCGCGGGTGCGGGTGGCTCGCGCTTGGGTTTCGGGATGGATTGCGGGCGGGTCTCGGGTGGGTTTCGGGTGTGTGGCGGGACGGGTGACGAGGACAGCAAGAACAACAACGATCATTGTGATATTGTTTTCTCGTATCCGCCCGCTTGCCACTCCACGTGTATATCTCGAGCCCTCGACACCCGCCCTTTCCGACTTCGATCGTGCCACTTTTTGGGGGGCATATTTTCCTTGCCTGTCACGCGTAGTTGGCGCCGCCCCTGAAACAGGAAGATGAGGGAGGGAAGGGACAAGTTAGGTGCGCTCGCGTCATATCTGATGTCCTGCGCCCCCCCCCCCCTCCCATCCCTTACCATGGCGTAGATATGTTCTCTATTCGCACTGTCGGACGTCGTAGCATGGCATAGCATTACATGGCATAGCACGGCTTTGAACATCAACGCGTAGCATGACATAGCATGATGGCGTGCCGACGCCCCAAAAAATCAACGAATGGACACCGAATTTGTAATCACTTCCGATGGTTTTTTTCAGGGGAGCATTTTCTATATTTGAGGCCTATTTGGAAGGATCGGAAACCATACCGTGGTATGGCACTGGAAATAATGACGCCAGCACAGGAAGGATGTGCAGCGGGAGGACGATTCGGAACGAGCGGAAGTACGGAAATGAGTCCAGCGCTGCGGCGGGAGCACGATTCGGAACGAGCGGAAGCACGGAAATGAGTCCAGCGTTGCGGCGGGAGCACGATTCGGAACGGGTGGAAGCGCAGAAGTGAGGCCAGCGTTGCAGCGGGAGCACGAGTCGGAACGGGCGGAAGCGCGGAAATGAGGCCAGCGTTTCAGCGGGAGCACGATTCGGAACGAGCAGAAAGAAAATGAGGCCAGCGCTTCAGCGGGAGCAACAGTTAAAAAACAACAACAACCCAAGCGAAAACCCAGGTCCCGGGAATCCTGTGTAAAAGACAGCACGCGGAGGGGGGCAGGATATTTTCGGACGTCCTCAGGGGAGAGAGGAAAGTAGTATTCATATTGTGTAATTGTCAAAGGAAAGGGACAGGGAGGGAGAAAGATGGAGTACGAGAGAGATTAGCGGGCTGAGGCTGAGGCTGAGGCTGAGGCTGCGCCTATGTCGTCCCAGGGGGACGGCCTTACGCGGGGCTAGGCGGTGGCGCCAGGGCGCCGGCATCTCTCGAACGTAGCATATCATACACAGGCCAATTTATTCCATACCTTGTGGCTGTATCTTTGTTGGACGTGCTGTGCGGGACGCGTACGAATCTTCCACGTTTGCCCCTATGTCAACATCTGATGCCACTGATTCCCACTCCCTGGCGCACGTCGAGAGAGATCAGCTGGAGCGAGGTCAAGAGCAGGAGAGCAAGCGGCAGAACCAGACGGGCGGGTCGGCGGGCGGGCCCTGACGGGCGTGTGTGGCGGGCGGGCCCAGACGGCCGCGTGGAGCGGGCAGGTCGCTGAAGTGTCAGTCCTGCATGGATCGAGGGGGCGTCTCCAGCGTTGGCGCGATTCCCGGATATACTGTGAGGAAGTCCAGAGCGAGACTGTGATTCTTGAGTGTAAAGGGGGCGGCGCTTCAATACGTTGGAAGGAAGTTTCACGCGAGGGCGCGATGTTTTGATACACTGTGAGGAAGTCCCGCGCGAGAGCGCGATTTGAATTAATTCGGAGGAATTATCAGGCGGGAGCAGCTGTTGTAGTAAACCGGGGGTCCAGGTGGCCAATCTGAGCCAATGTTCTGTTGTATAAAACCAGGTGCGAGCCCCAGGAGGGGCACTTCAGTTGAAAGAAAACACAGCGGGCACTGGAGAGGGGTCAACAAAACATATTTCATAATGAGAATTCAACAATCTTCCGAAAAATTATCGTTCTCATTTACTGGCACGTCAGTCAATATGAAAATCCCAAGCCCTCGACACCCGCCCCTTCCGTCTTCGATCCAGCCCCCTTGGGGTGTATATCTTCCTTACCTGCCACGTGACGCGTAGGTGAGGGAAGAGAGAAGACACAAGGGGGACGCCAGAGCGCGATTTTGAATGAATTGTGAGAGGTCTCAGGCGGGAGCCGCTGTTGTAGTAAACAGGGGGCCAACAAGTCAGTGTGAGGCTCAAGGCTTTACCTTGTGAAAGGCAGGGTGCGAGCCTCAGGAGGGGCACCTCAAGTGAAAAAGCACACAAAGGGAACCGGGGGTGTGGGATCAACAATAGTTGTGTCTTTAGTCCGTTGCCGCTTGGGCTCAGACCGTCAGTGCTAAATTCCCCTCGCTCGCCGCTCTGTTGCCCTTCACCCCAGATCCTGCTGGGCTCTCATGGAAAACAGCGGCGTGACGTTCGGAGTGCACGACTTCCGGCAGCAGGGGCGCACGCGCGAGGAGTACCACGGCCTGCTCTCGTCCCAGGCGGGCGACACGCGGAACCGGATCTTCAACGTAGACTCCGGCACGAGCACTTTCAACATGAACTCGCGCGCACGGAGCCTCGGGCTCCCAGGTGCACACCCAAAGGGCGAGTACTCGCGGACAAGGTCCTTTGCGTCATCGAGCTTGCCAACGGAGACTGCTTGGCCGAAGAGCTGCGCTGGAGGCTTCTGCTTCGAGTGGCAGGGCTCCTATGACGACGCGGAGCGGCACCGGAGGGCCGAAGGCCTGGGCAGGAACATCGTTGGCCACGTGACCATCAAGGACGGCAGGGTGTACCAGGGCACGCGGGCCAGCTTCTCGCGGCTCGCCTGGAAAGAGTCGGGCCCCGGGGCGCGCGCGCCCGCGCAGCCCAAGAAGGCGTAGCACGGCGAGCGCACTGAGCTGCCGGCGCTGCGAAGCAGCGGCCGGCAGCCGTCCGGGGGGTTGAGCGGAGGTCACCGTCCAGGGGTTTGCGAATGGATACCCTTTAGTCACGAGCTTTGGCCAGGAAGGCCTTGCGCGAAGAGGAAGGCCGAGGCCTGTTGGCGCCCGTGCGCCGCGGCCTTGCGGCGGCCAGGGCGTCACTGCGGGACCCGCGGATCGCTCTGCGGTGTGCGGGGCTCGCCCCCCCCCGAAAAAGTGTTGCTTAGATGTGAGATCTTGACGACAATCCACACCGCGGAAGCTGACCTCTAGTACGCACGCAGGGGCGATGTAAGACCGTTCGGCCCCATTACTCTGACCTATGCGTGTCTCTGCACGTTACGTTGTCCCCCCCCCCCAGGCGTCTGAGCACTTTGTTGCGGGTCCACAGCGCAACCCATTGCGAGGCGACGTCTCTGGGGGGCCATTGATCGGGCTTAGGTTCGCCAGATACGGCCAACAGTACTTCAGAGCCGCCCCCAGTACTTTCGAGTTTGCCGCAGGCGAATGGGCAAGGCATGCCAGGTGGGCTGGGAAGACATGCCATTCCCTTGAAAGCTTGTCTGCAAAGGGTCCTACACAATGCGTCGAGGCACATGTGAGCTCCTTCGGATCCAGAACAGGCGGCCCGTGGTCCCCGTACACATGGTCTCCGCGTATGGTCTCCCGCATGGTTTCCCGTGCGGCTTCTTGTCTGGCTTCCCGTAAGGTTTCGCGCATGGTCTCCCGCATGGTGTCCCGTATGGTCTCGCGTCGTGTCTCCCGTGTGGTCTGCCCCACGATTTCCCGCATGGTCTCCTGTACGGTCGCCTGTACGGTCCCCCCGTCTGGTCTCCCGGCTGGTCTCGCGTCTGGTCTCGCGCGTGGTCTCCCGTACGGTCTCTTTCACGGCATTAGTTATGGTCTCGCATACGGTTTCCCGGGTGGTCTGTAGTACGGCTTCTTTCCTGTTTTTTTTATAGTTCTTTGACATACAGTGCGGGCGCGCATCAAGAAACCATATGCTTTTCGTCAGGGTATCTTGGGTTTCTTCGCTCCTCGCGCTGCGCGGTGACTTCCCGCAGCCGTTGAAGAAGCTGCTGCGTTCAGGGTGCTCCAGGTTTCCCCTTAGGTGCACCTCGCGCACGGGTTCTCAGGGTTGGGTTTCTTGCGAGGGTTTCTTGCGGCCGCGCCCGCACTGTACTCCCCGTTCTCGACGGCAATCGTTACATTGATTTGCTTACCACTCTAAAAAGGGATTCTGCCGCCAAGGGGGGTAATTGGATGCCACCGTGTGAGTGGAACGCTGAAGCTGCACAATTGTACCAGTCGCTCGCTTGTGAATGGTGTGTTTCCGATCAACCATTATTGCTGCACCTTTACGCGCCAGATCACACATCTCCCTTCTTGTACCTCTCTTGATGTGTCCCTGCTAGCTCCACGCGGCTTCTCACTCCCTTGACGCTCCTCCGCCTCCTGCCGCTCCTCGATCTCTGCATGCCCTTCCTCTTCGTGCTTCTCCGCCCTTTCCCAACCCTGCCCCGTCCCTTACTGCTCCCACAGCTCTTGCGGCCCAGCCCTCGCCCCGCCCGCTGCTCTCCTGGCTCCAGCGCCAGCGGCGTGACTGCTCCCCGAGGCAGAGCCACGGGCCCCCGTCCGCAGGCCCCGCTGCACCATGGCGGCGCCCGGGCGAACGCCGAGCGTGCACACGGCCGCCTCGCACTCCGCCGTGCGTACCCCGGCTCAGCGGTCCAGACGGATCCCCGCCGTCGCTGCGCTTTGCGCCGGGCTGGCGGCCGCGGCCGCGGTTGCCCGCGAGGCATTTGCGGGCGCCGCCCTGAGGGCGGCCACGGGGTCGCCCGTGCCTGCGCGGCGGACGGCGCTGAAGGCGGAGGCCTTCGACCCTTTCGGCATCAAGGAGGCCTTCAAGGGCGCCATGGGAGGCGTCCTGGACGGCAGTGGAACAGACGAGCCTCCGAGCAGACTGGAAGAGGAGATGATGCTGGAGATCTTCGAGAAGTACGACGAGGATCGCGACGGCATCCTCAAACTAGACGAGTTCAATGCTCTGCAGCGAGCCACCGAGGGCGAGGATGCCGTGTACAACCAGGACCAGCTCACGGACTTGCTGCGATCAGTGAATTCTGGCATCAAGGAGCCGGAAAAGGGCATGCCGTTCGTGGACTACAGAAGGCTCTACGCGGAGAGCCGCTTGAAGAAGGCGTACGGCACAGACGTCACGAGAGACCACGTGAAGGTCTTCGGTGTCGCTGGTGGTCAAGCTGCCGACCGAGCGCAGGCGGCTCTGAAGAAGGAGGCGGAGGAGGCCGCAAAGGCGGGCCCAGCCGTGGGCTCCGCCGTAGTCATCCAGGGCCTCTCCGGCGCGAAGGAGCTGAACGGCCAGACGGCCCACGTGGTGGCGCCGACCGAGGCCGAAGCAGACATGGTTGCCGAGGGCCGTCTCATCCTCGAGCTCGCGGACGGCGAGCGGGTGGCGCTGAAGCCCACTAACGTCAAGGTGGCCGAGACCAAGTCCATCGACTGAGCCAGGCGGCCGCTCCATGCAGAACGGCGCCTCCCATTGGAGAGGTCGCTCGGCTTCCGCCGGCATTGGTCGCATATTTTTGTCACAACACCTTTATGAAGAGGCCAGCCCCCTGCACAGTGTCGTAGTCCGCTGTAGAGGCGAGGGATGTGGTGCTGACCAAGGACAGGCAAACGGGGCGTGCCGTTGTGGTCCGGGCGGCGCAACAAAAGCCAAGTCCTCCCTCGCTCGTTGCGGCGGAAACCGCCCGCTCCAGGAGTAAGAGGATGCCCTTCCAGAGAGAGGGTCTTAAAGAAAGGTGTTGAGGTCGGGACGCTTCGTGCACTCCTCCAGCTCCACAGGGATAGGAGTTGGTGATCTGCACGTCCGCCTCGCTTGTGTGTGTGTGTGTGCGCGTCCAGTCTGGCTCGGTGGGGGCGTGTGCTGAGGTCTGCAGGCGTTCGGGGGGTGGTGCAGGCACAGACGACGAAGGGCCCGCGCATGTGTGCTCCCAGTGAGTTCCGCACGCGTGCCGAACAACGGGAAACTCGCATGACATGCACGGGAGCATTTCCATTGGCACTTCCGTCGTCAACGAGTGTCGAGGAGGGGTGCCCGCGGGATTGGCCTTAGGTGGGGAGTTGTAGCCTCCTCCCTGGCCAAGCACGCATGCCGGGGCAGGCCCTCTTCGCAGCGGTGCGCCTGCACGGGGTTGCGGGGCGTACGGCAGGGGCCTCGTCGTGAGTGCGCACCGACGCGGGAGGAAGGGGGAGACGGCGGGGGAGGTCGAGGGGAAGAAGGAGGGCGGGAGGGGTGTGGGGCGGCCAGACCAGCAGCGTTAATCGTGCAATGTCCCGCAGGCGCACGGACTCGACAACAGGCGGCCTGCGGCGAAGCATCACTCGAGACATGCCGAAGAGCCGACACGAGGCCCGAAAACCCGCGCCCTCCGTAAGCGACGGCACTCCAGCGAGGTAACGAAACAGAGTTTGCCCTGCGTCATTCACTTTGAATTCCAGTGTTGAGCGAGGCGAGCGTACGAACGACGCAGCGACGGCACCTCGAAGGCCCTTCCTGGGCGTGCGGTACCGCAGCTGGCACGTGTGATACGCTCGATCATTCGAGTCGATGCGCACCGAACGCGCGTGCACCACTCAATCATCTCACCCTGCCTTCGGCTGGGGTCCATGTACACGGACCACAGTTGCCGCTGGAGCCGTCCACGTCCATGCTGTATTCGAGCTCGTGTACGGCCGCCGGGTCCTCCGGGCTGATCCCCGTGCTTGTCAGCACAACGCGGTCTTCGGTCACCTGCCGCTGAATGCCGTTCCCGCTCCTGTTGGGCGCGTGCGTGTGCCTGGTCTTCGGGTCGTCCAGTCCGTCCCCCAAGTCCGGCGGCACGTCGCCGCCTTCGGTCTCCTGCCCAGTGGAGTCGTTCGCGTCCGTGCTGCACTTGAGCTTGTTCGTGGCCTTCGGGTCCTACTTGAGCTTGTTCGTGGCCTTCGGGTCCTCCAGCCCATTCCCCAAGCGCACCAGCGCAGCGCGGTCCTCACTAGCCTGCCATTCAGTGCCGTCCCCGATCGTGCTGTGCGCACGCCTGTGCACGGTCTTCAGGCACTCCAGCCTGTCTCCCAGGCCTGCCAGCACGCCGCCGCCCTCGGCCTCCTGCCGCGTGGAGCCGTGCATGGTCGTGCTGTATCCAAGCTTGTTCATGACCTTCGGGTCCTCCAGCTTCTTCCTCAAGCCCGTCAGCACAACGCAGCACTGGGCCACCTGCCGCTTGGTGCCGTCTTCGGTCATGCTGTACGTGCGCTTGCCCACTAGCCTGTTTCCCCGATCAGTCAGCACATCGCGGTCCTCCGTCACCCGCTGCTTGGTGCCGTCACTCGCAAGGAGGCGCCTAGTCGACGCTGGGCCGTTACCAGGGGTACGCCCCGCAGGGCGGAAGATGAGGAAGAGGAGGAGAAGGAGTAGCGGGAGGAGGATGAGGGAAGAAGGGATCTAATGAAGGGGGCAAACATTGGCAGAAAGGGGTAGAGAAAGCAGAAGGAATTAGGAGGGGGGGTGATGGAGGGAAGATGCAAGGGAAGGAGGGACAGAGGAAGGAGGAGGAGGAGGAGGCGGAGGGGGAGGGATGAGGGAAGAGTCATGCCACCATGTCATAGACTCATCAGCGCCAGGTCAAATGATTAAGTTGGCGCGGCCCCACAAGTGTTCCTGGATCATCCTGTGGTGGGCGGCCGTTTTGAATCGAGCACTTGTTGCTCCTCACCCGCCCCCTCTTCTTTCTCGGCCGCCTCCTCCTCCTCCTCCTCCTCCTTCCTCCTTCCCCCTCCCTCCTCCTCCTTCCTCCTTCCCCCCTGCCTTTCTCTCTCTCTCTCTCTCTTTCTCTTTCTCTCGTTCTCTCTCTCTCTCTCTCGCTTCCGTTTTCCTCTCCCCCGCCTCGTCGGTGGAGTGGCGTGGTACGCAGACCCAATGCGAGACCTCGCCCTCCTCCCCGGGTGCGGCCAGGCGAGCACAGCGTTGCGGGGTGCAGCGGAGCGGGTCTCCACGCGGAGTCAGCGAGACTTTGCCTTGTTTTGGTATTGCCCAGCGTTCAACTTCTCTTCGCTGCTGGCTTCCGTCACTCACTTCCCCTGCACCTCTGTTTCTTTTGGCCTTGTTTTCCATATGTGCCCCATCACGGGGAAGGTCCCCTGCATAGCTTGCGCAGGGGATCCCATGCCGTTTCGTAGAATCATGTGTTTAGGATGTGCCCGCTGAGTTTGCCACTGTTGAAGGTGGGGTGGGTACGTGCGCCATTGGGCGTTACCCTCTTCCTGTGCGCACGCGTGCGCAATGTAGCGCAGTGGTGTACAACACACTGGGGTGCAATGTAAGGCCAACCACATCACGGCGTATCAACGCATACCTCAGCAACACCTACCACACCAGGTCATGTCATACCTCGGGGGTGGACAGAACCCCCAACAGTGACACGTCGATTAGTGAATTGTCCGTTTTCGGTTCTCGAGATGGCGCCGTGGCCGTTATTTTCCAGGCTTGCGCCAGCCAGGTTTGGGCCTCAGGTCGTTTTCACTAAACCACGTTTTACTAAAGGGGTCCCCGAATACCAACACTCCGCACCAGCTAGAAAAGCCACGTGCAGTGCCATGGAATAGTGCGGCAGAGCACGGCACGGCACGGCATGGCATGGCCCGCAGCAGAAGCGAGCAGCACAGCAGGCACGAGCGCATGCACGGCGCGCCGACTCCTTGCAGAGCAGCACCATGCACTGCACACCAGAGCACTGGGGGAGGAGGAGGAGGAGGAGGAGGAGGAGGAGGAGGAGGAGGAGGAGGAGGAGGTGGAGATAGAGGAGGAGGAGGAGGAGGAGGAGGAGGAGGAGGAGGTGGAGATAGGCACAGCATGGCACCGCCTCGCAGGATGCAGCAGCGACACACGTGGCACCGGAGAGAAGCCCCCAGCCGGCGGAGCGTCGGACGCCGCCGCGGGTGCTCCACGCCTGCCCGCCGCGAAGACTGCCAGAACTGCTCTTGCCAAACGTGCTACACTCTGTATGTGTTATGTCTCGCTTTCTCTCTTCCTCTTTCTCTCTACTCTCTAATGTCATTATCCCTCCCTTTCTCTCTCTCTCTCTCATTATTGCTCTCTCTCTCTCTCTTTATGTATGTGTATGTATATATATATGTATGTATGTATGTATGTATGTCTCGCTATCTCGCTCTCTCTCTCTCTCTCTCACTCTCGCTCTCTCTATCTACTTTGTTTGTCTCAATAACTCTGGTATGGATTATCAATTACATGTTCTCTCTCATTCTGACCGTGGTCGCAAGTACTCTGTACTCAGTCTCTCCTTCTCCATATCACTCTCTCTCTCTCTTTCTCTCTCTGCCTTAATTTTTCTCATGCGTTCACTTGCCATACCCTCTGAACTCGCTCTACCTTTGTATCTGGGAAAAACTACACATGGTTCATTCCGAATTACTCGAAAGTTCTTTGATTTTTGGAGAGGCAAGATCCTTTCATTTCTAAGTGTTCTATCCTGGGCCCCGTCCTGGCCACTAGGGGGGCAGGAGCAATTAGAAACGAGCACCATTAGAAATGAACATGATTTGAAATGAGCGACGCGTATACTTTCAGTTCTCTCTGCTCAACTCCGCTCCCGACTCTCTGCTATGTTCTCCCTGCTCTCAATTCTAGTCTCTAGTGCCACGAATGCCGGATCCTGCAACCCGTGAGCCTGGCCTCCCACCAAAGTCGGCCCTGCATGTTCGCCAGAACTTGCATTTGGAAGCCCAGGAACCCGCCGCCGACCGAAGTCGGCCCGTTGTTATTCGCCAGATCCCTCGACCTCCGCAAGGACCCTTTTCATCTCGAGCACCGATTTGGGAATGGCACATCACTTTCATGGCATACCATAGCACTGTCATGCCACAAGACATGTACAGCACGACAGAGCATTCGCGCAGCACGCCATGTCATAAGGACTACCGCTCGCATGACACAGCGCATTGTCGTGGGTGTGTCACAGCATCGCCCAACATAGCATTGCACAGCGTAGCACAGCACCTGCGCGAGGATCTGGCGCCCAGGTCGGGAGGATCAGGCCTGACAATTTATTCCACTCAGCATCGCTCGGACGTGTGCATTTTTCCTCGAGGGGCACCATCGAGAAGAATGCCGAGCCATCTTGCCAAAATACCCGGACGAGCTCGAAGCATGCACGGGGAATGGACGTCCGAGCGATAGCCAGTCCAGAGAGCGTCTCTCCGAGTCGCCCTGCCGTCGAACGCGAGCGGTGTTCGAAGCAGTGCCGTTCGACACTTGGCTGTTGTCGAGCCGTCGATGGCACGGTGGCCGTCAGAGGTCCTCGTCTCGCCCCGCAGGCCCCGAATCCTGCGAGGCGCTCGTCATCCCCGTGGGATTGCGAGGGGGGAGGGCGAGGAGGGGAAGGAAGTGGAAGGAGGTCAGCGGAGAAGGACCGACGAAATTGCTGGGGGAGGAGGAGTAGGAGAAGGTAGAGGAGGAGGAGGAGGAGGAGGAGGAGGAGGAGGAGGAGGAGGATGGGAGTGAGAGAGGGAGGAGAGGAGGAGAGGAGGAGGAGAGGGGGAGGAGGGAGGAGGAGGAGGAGGAGGAGGAGGAGGAGGAGGAGGAGGAAGAGGCGGAGGACAGAGGGCATCTCTACACCATGCCTCACCAGGGCTATCCTGGGCCCCAGGGAGGAGGTGGCCTCCTGGCCTCCGCCTGGAGGGCGTGTACACCATGCCAGGGCCCAGGATGGCCGTGGGCAGGCATGGTGGTTAGGTGTAGGTGCGTTTTGCGTCTTCTCCTACAGTCAGTTCGCACAGCAAGGATGAGCAATTTTCCAGGGCTGCCCTTGCGTCATTGTCCCTTCGGCCCATCCTCGGTAGCTTTCGCTGGCCAGCCTCGTTCGAAGAACGCTGACATGGTCGCCCAAGGCCCTTGCATCCCCACCGCGCATCCGTTTGCGTCATTGTCCCTTCGGCCCATCCTCGGTAGCTTTCGCTGGCCAGCTTCGTTCGAAGAACGTTGACATGGTCCCCCAAGGCCCTTGCATCCCCACCGCGCATCCTTACCTCCTCCTCCTCCTCCTCCTCCTCCTCCTCCTCCTCCTCCTCCTCCTCCTCCTCCTCCGCGCATCCTTATCACACGGGCTGACCGCATTCTCCTGCCTCCCTCGAGAGGCACTCTGGCCAGAGCCCGCGCCCCCGATCGCCAGCGGCAAAGGGTGGTGGACCCCCCCCCCCTTGCTCGGCCCAGACCCAGCGGCCTTGGGTTAAGTCGGGCGCGTCCCTCCACAGGGGGGATATGAAAAAATATAGTCCAAAAGATAGTCTGGGGGCTATTTTTTAATTGTTTCTTTGGCCATTTTGGAGTATCTTTCTGGGTATTTTTTGTCCCAACCATCCTGTGGTGTTGGGTCCTCGTTTTGAAGAGACGGTGCCCCGCGTTCCCTCCTCCTCCCGCTGCCCCCTCCCTCCTGCCATCATCATCATCATCATCATCATCACCATCATCATCATCATCATCATCATCATCATCATCATCATCATCATCATCATCATCATCATCATCATCATCATCCCACCTCTTCCCTGTTTCACCCACCCAGTACAGCGTTTCGTAGCCCCATAGGAGCTCCACCGAAGGCACCAGTACCCGCGCCCGCATGCGTCACCCACACCCAATTCGGCACACCCCTCACACGCTTCGTGGCTCCATAGGAAGCTCCACCGAAGGCCCCAGTGCCCGCGCCCGCATGCGTCACCCACACCCATTTCGGCACACCCCTCACACGCTTCGTGGCTCCATAGGGAGCTCCACCGAAGGCCCCAGTGCCCGCGCCCGCATGCGTCACCCACACCCATTTCGGCACACCCCTCACACGTTTCGTGGCTCCATAGGGAGCTCCACCGAAGGCCCCAGTGCCCGCGCCCGCATGCGTCACCCACACCCATTTCGGCACACCCCTCACACGTTTCGTGGCTCCATAGGGAGCTCCACCGAAGGCCCCAGTGCCCGCGCCCGCATGCGTCACCCACACCCATTTCGGCACACCCCTCACACGTTTCGTGGCCCCATAGGGAGCTCCACCGAAGGCCCCAGTGCCCGCGCCCGCATGCGTCACCCACACCCATTTCGGCACACCCCTCACACGTTTCGTGGCCCATAGGGAGCTCCACCGAAGGCCCCAGTGCCCGCGCCCGCATGCGTCACCCACACCCATTTCGGCACACCCCTCACACGTTTCGTGGCTCCATAGGGAGCTCCACCGAAGGCCCCAGTGCCCGCGCCCGCATGCGTCACCCACACCCATTTCGGCACACCCCTCACACGTTTCGTGGCCCCATAGGGAGCTCCACCGAAGGCCCCAGTGCCCGCGCCCGCATGCGTCACCCACACCCATTTCGGCACACCCCTCACACGTTTCGTGGCTCCATAGGGTCCACCGAAGGCCCCAAGTGCCCGCGCCCGCATGCGTCACCCACACCCATTTCGGCACACCCCTCACACGTTTCGTGGCTCCATAGGGAGCTCCACCGAAGGCCCCAGTGCCCGCGCCCGCATGCGTCACCCACACCCATTCGGCACACCCCTCACACGTTTCGTGGCTCCATAGGGAGCTCCACCGAAGGCCCCAGTGCCCGCGCCCGCATGCGTCACCCACACCCATTTCGGCACACCCCTCACACGTTTCGTGGCTCCATAGGGAGCTCCACCGAAGGCCCCAGTGCCCGCGCCCGCATGCGTCACCCACACCCATTTCGGCACACCCCTCACACGTTTCGTGGCTCCATAGGGAGCTCCGCCGAAGGCCCCAGTGCCCGCGCCCGCATGCGTCACCCACACCCATTTCGGCACACCCCTCACACGTTTCGTGGCTCCATAGGGAGCTCCACCGAAGGCCCCAGTGCCCGCGCCCGCATGCGTCAGCCACACCCATTTCGGCACGCCCCTCACGCGTTCCGTGGCCCCATAGGGAGCTCCGCCGAAGGTCCCAGTGGGTGTGCCCGCATGCGTCCCGCACACCCATTTCGGCACACCCCTCACACGTTTCTTGGCCCCATAGAGAGCTCCACCGAAGGCCCCAGTGGGTGTGCCCGCATGCGTCCCGCATACCCATTTCGGCACACCCCTCGTACGTTTCGTGGCCCCGTAGGGGGCTCCACCGAGAAGATATTCACAATTGCAGTATTCACAATTGCATATGGTTGGGCCCTTCGCCAGGATAATTTTTGTTCGCCCAAAATCCCCCTGTAGGGGGACAGGCCCGACCTAAGCCTTGGTCCACGGGCCCCGCGGGACCATGGCGGCGCCCCGGCGAACGCCGAGCGTGCCTGCGACCGCCTCGCACGCCGCCGCGCGTGCCGCGGCTCGGCGGCCCAGGTGCCGTCGTGAAGGACGACGACGACGACGACGGCGACGGCGACGACGACGACGACGGCGACGGCGACGACGACGACGACGACGACGGCGACGGCGACGGCGACGGCGACGGCGACGGCGACGACGACGACGACGGCGACGACGACGGCGACGGCGACGACGACGACGACGACGGCGACGGCGACGGCGACGGTGACGGCGACGGCGACGGCGACGGCGACGGCAAAAAGGAGATCCTGGATGAGAGGGGTCCCAGAGGTTTCCGCTGTCTTCGAAAAACCGGCCTCCCCAGGACCCGAGATCATCAAACAATGGTTCGGGGGCACAAGAATTGGTCTCGAGGGAAGCCCCGAGTCTCAGGACCCGTTCCCACTTGAGCGTCCTCCTCTCCTGGCAAAGGTGGTTCCCCGCCGTCGCTGCGCTTTGCGCCGGGCTGGCGGCCGCGGCCGCGGTTGCCCGCGAGGCATTTGCGGGCGCCGCCCTGAGGGCGGCCACGGGGTCGCCCGTGCCTGCGCGGCGGACGGCGCTGAAGGCGGAGGCCTTCGACCCTTTCGGCATCAAGGAGGCCTTCAAGGGCGCCATGGGAGGCGTCCTGGACGGCAGTGGAACAGACGAGCCTCCGAGCAGACTGGAAGAGGAGATGATGCTGGAGATCTTCGAGAAGTACGACGAGGATCGCGACGGCATCCTCAAGCTAGACGAGTTCAACGCTCTGCAGCGAGCCACCGAGGGCGAGGATGCCGTGTACAACCAGGACCAGCTCACGGACTTGCTGCGATCAGTGAATTCTGGCATCAAGGAGCCGGAAAAGGGCATGCCGTTCGTGGACTACAGAAGGCTCTACGCGGAGAGCCGCTTGAAGAAGGCGTACGGCACAGACGTCACGAGAGACCACGTGAAGGTCTTCGGTGTCGCTGGTGGTCAAGCTGCCGACCGAGCGCAGGCGGCTCTGAAGAAGGAGGCGGAGGAGGCCGCAAAGGCGGGCCCAGCCGTGGGCTCCGCCGTAGTCATCCAGGGCCTCTCCGGCGCGAAGGAGCTGAACGGCCAGACGGCCCACGTGGTGGCGCCGACCGAGGCCGAAGCAGACATGGTTGCCGAGGGCCGTCTCATCCTCGAGCTCGCGGACGGCGAGCGGGTGGCGCTGAAGCCCACTAACGTCAAGGTGGCCGAGACCAAGTCCATCGACTGAGCCGGGCGGCTCGCGCGTTTCCTCGTTTAACGGTCGCTCGATTCCGAATCGACCAGTTGGTCGTCGGATGCTTTGCGTTTTTTTTTATGACCAGGCTACGCCTTGCATACCGGCCTCTGCCGCAGCCAGTGCGCTCGTCGTGCAAGGCGGCCACGCGAGGCCCCGACGGCATGTGATCGGGTGCGCGACGACTGCATCGTCTCCCCCCTCCCGTTCTGGTCGCGCTGCTCCTCCTCCTCCTCCTCCTCCTCATCATCATCCTCCTCATCCTCCTCCTCCTCCTCCCCCTCCTCCTCCCCCTCCTCCTCCTCCTCCTCCTCCTCCTCCTCCTCCTCCTCCTCCTCCTCGTCCTCCTGCTTCGCGTCCTCCTTCGGTCCCTGCCCCCCCGCTCTGCTTCCCGCGGTGCGCCGCGGTGGGCCTGCGATGACGGCATCGCCCTTCCCCTCCTCGTCGCTGCTGCAAGGCCTGCCTCCCCATGGGTTGGGGGCATGGGGCCGTCTTAGGCCTAGGGCTTTCTCTGGGGCAGGCTTCGTGCCCCATGTGGCCCGGATGCCCCCCTCCCCATCGACGACAGCTCCCTGACGGTTCTCCAGCCCGTGGTGCAAGAGCTGCCCCTGCGGCAGCTCCTCTGGGCAGTGTTACGGCCTTCTCTTTTCTACCTTGGGGCCATCCTGAGGCTCTTGCGGGCTTCCCCGGAGACAGCTCCCCGAGGATTCCACAGTCCGCGGTGCGGGAAACGGCCCCGTGTGCGGGCATGTTCGGGCCGTCCCATGGTTTTCCTTTCGGCAGTTTTAGAGCCCTCCTGAAGCTCTTCGGTTCCTCGACAGATCTACAACCTGTGGTGCCAGAACTGCCCCTACGGGGGATCATTTAGGTTGTCTCAGGACCTTTGGGGGAGTGTATTCGGCCCGTCCTGTGGCTCTGATAGGGTTCCCCGCAAACAGCTCTCCGACAGTTCTCCAACCCGCGATGCGAGAACTGTCCCCTGGAGGGCCTTTTCGGGCGACAACGAATACAACAAACGGCGTCCCTCAATACTTAGGTTTTTTCTGGGATCATCTCCACTCCCAGCGGGGCCCTTCTCGTCGCCGAGTCTGGACACCAGGATCGTCTGGGAGCGAGCCTTGGAGCGGGCTGGGCGGACCGCGGCCTGGAGCACAAGCTTCCAGGCCCGCCAGGCCTCGGAGAGCACACCCCTCTGCCCGAACATCGCGGCGCTGCAACACGAGAGCCCGGCTCGAGGCGTGTCAGCAGGAGCATCCGGCTGGGCTAAGGAGGAGGGAGGAGAGAGGAGGAGGAGGAGGAGGAGGAGGAGGAGGAGGAGGAGGAGGAGGAGGAAGACGAGGAGGAATGTTCCTCTTGTAGGAGAGCCCGCGGCCGGGCTCGAGGCCCTCCTCCCTTGGCGCCCCCCTCGGCGCGGCCTCGGCGGCGGCCTCGACGGGCAGATGGCGGAGGCGGCGGCGCCCCGCGCGGAGCCGGCCGAGGCGCCGGGGGGCCCAGGGCCGGAGCCCGGCGGCGCCCCGGCCGAGGCAGAGGCCGCCGCCGAGGCCGCCGCAGCGCAGGCAGCGCCCGCTGCCGCCGCGGAGGCGGCGGCGGCGCCTGCCGTCGACGACCCGCTGGTGCCGCCGGCCTCCGCCGTGGACCCGATGGTGGCGGGGCCCGACGAGGCGGTGCTGCCGCTGGAGGCGGACGGCGACGGGTGGGTGGAGCTCCTCCGGGACGCCTTCTTCCGCCAGCTGCGCGAGGACCCACTGGATCCTCGGAGCGTGTGTTGGCCCACTGTGTGGTTGCCCCGACCGGCCTGTGCCAGCCATTGTTACATCACCCTCGCAGTACAGGCCTCGGAACAAATTAGCGAACACATGCCAGATTCATCCGTCAACGCCTCCCCCTCCCCCAATGTTCAAAGTTGGCGGTGGGTCTGATGAAATGCACCGCGCGTGCCAACATTGAGTTTGGGGGAGAGGGGAAGTGTTCAGTAATTGTTTCCCTCTACCGTATTGAAGGGCCTTGCCAGACCAGCACACGTTGGCGCTAACGCACGTCCTGAGGGTCATCGAGAGGAGAACGAGTGCCCAGAGCCGCCCCCCTTCCACCGCGCCCTGCGGCTCGCGGTGGAGGCCCACGAGACGCTGACGCCAGGGAAGTTCCCGTACCAGGCCCCGGGCAGGGCTCGGGCAGGGAAAAATCGAAAATCCAGAGCGGAGCGCTCTCGGAGCGTTGCGGAGCGTTCTGAGAAGGCCGCAGCGCCCGATGCCGGGATCCCGCAAAGCGGGGGGGGGGGCCTCCGGGGGGGGGGGGGAGTTGAATCGGTTTTTGCACCGAACCGCCCAGAACAGATGCCCGATAGTTGCGGATAGGTGGTGCATGCGGGGGGCATCTGTGTGCGGCAGTTCGGTGCACCAGCGGATCTAACTCACGCTCCGCCCCCAGGGTCACCCCCTCTTTGGTGGATCCCGACGATACATCGTCCAGGAAAACCGCCAGATCTCAGAGGGCCCTGGTCTGTCCCTGCCCGATGTTGTCCTTGCCCTGGCTTCGCCTTGAGGCCCTCAACATCCAGCTGGAGATGCTGAACAAGATGCGCGGCGTGGGGGGCCACTTCGGCGGCTGCCCGGCCGTGCCTGTCATACAGCCGCTCGCGCAGGGCGGCAACCTCGCCGTGGCCGCCGCGACGATCACGGCGGCGGCCAGCCAACTGGGGGTGCCGGCTCACAGCGCGCAGGCGCTGACGGGCCTCCTGTCGCAGGTGGGCAGCGCAAAGCATATGGTGACGAACCAACCACACACACCCATACCCATAGGGGGATCGGAGAGGGCTATGGGTGCGTGTTGTCGGATGGGGGTCCCCGCTCCAACGGGAGCATTCCCCAGGGTCCGACAACCCGCACCCATACACATAGCCAGTCCTCCTCTCAACGTCTCCCCTATGGGTATGGGTCTGTGTTGCTCGTTCGTCATATGGGGCCTTTGTGCGGACATCCGTGCGCAAGCCTCCCGCGGAAGATCGGGCGTGAGCGCACTCCTCTGCACGTGGTGTGCAGCGCTGGCGGCCCGCTTCCCGCGAAAGCTTGCGCGTAAGCGCACTCTTCTGCACGTGTGCTGCGTTGGCGGCCCGCGGGGGCCGCCGCGTTACAGTCGGGGCCCCGAAGAAGGAACCCTTTTTGTTGGGGAGGGGCTCCGTGTTCCTTAAGTGTTTCGCAGCTTGCCTCAGGTTTTCCTCGTGTTTTCGATCGGAAATCGAGGTTGAACTTATTTAGGGTTCCTTAGGTCAACGCCCCGACTGTAGGTCACCACGTCCTGTACCCCTTTCTTTTCTCGGCGGCGAGCCTGGGCGGTAAGTGAGAAGGGGCGGGCCTTCTCGGAAGGCTCGGAAGGCCTCCGACCTTCTGAGGAATGCCCCGAGCCTTCCCCGAAGGTGCAGGAAGCTGTTCGGAATTCGCGAGGGCTTCTGAGAAGCCCCCGCCGCCTTCTGAGAAGGCCTGCTCTTTCTCGCATCCCCCCGAGGAGGAGGAGGAGGAGGAGGAGGAGGAGGAGGAGGAGGGTCAAAGAGGGTCGAGGAGGAGGAGGAGGAGGATCGAGGAGCGATGAGGAGGAGGAGGAGGAGGAGGAGGAGGAGGAGGAGGAGGTTTTTCGTCGTCAGGTGACGGTGAGGGGCACCGTGGCCGGGGTGACCCCCCCGCTCCTCGAGGCGCTCCAGACGATGGCGGGCGTGCAGCCCGGCAGCGTCCCGCCGCTGGGCGCCTTCGGCCCCAACCGGAAGGGCAAGGGCGGCGGCAAGGCGGGCGGCCGCTTCGGGGGCAGAGGCCTGGGCCTCCCAGATTGGGGTCCGAGCAGACGTCGGGGAGCGAAAAATGGCATACACCTTAGGCGATGCTTAAGAAAACTTGCGTTTTCGGCCAGGGTCTCGATTATTCTTAATGTTTCAATGCAAATCTAGAGATTTTGATAGAAATCTTGGGTTTTTGTTCAAGTCCTGAGACCATGAATTTCTTAACCCATGATTTCTTAAGCATTTCGCAGGGTGTACACAGAAAAAGATTCGGAGGTCCGCGCGGACTTCTCGGGTCCGCGCCGGAGACCCCTGGCGGCGCCTCCGGCGCCGCCCCCGGCGCGCTCCGCGCGCCAGGGAGGGGGTCCAGCGCCGATCCGAGAAGTCCGCGCGGACCTCCGAGTTATTATGTTTATGCCATTTTTCGTTCACCTAAGATGGGTTCGGATAATCACGCCGCATCGCCGATGCGTCGTCGATGCGGGTCGATGTGGAGCCCGATTTGCTTCACGTCGACGTCGCCGATGTATCGCCCACGTCGACCATGCATCGCCGGCGCATCTCCGATGCATCGCCGATGCATCGCCGATGTATCGGCGATGCGGCGCGATCCTCCGCTCCCGTCTACAGTCAACCCGCAAAGTAAGGATGGGCAACCTGCCCACGGATACCTTTGCATCCTAGCCTCCTCGGTCCATCCTTGGCCACTGTCGTTGGTCGCGCCCCGCTCGGAAGGCTTTGAAGTGGGCGTCCAAAGCCCTTGCATCCTTATCGCGCATCCTTACTACACGGGTTGGCTCTACTCCGACCCCATCTGGGAGGCCTCTAAGAGGGCCGCAGCGGACGATCGTCAAGTGAGGGCCCGCCGGCGGCAGGCGCAGGGAGGCAGAGCGCTCCTCTGGCTGCAGACTGGTTTGTGCCCCCTCGTCTTGGCATCGTGGTTGAATGCTACTGAGTCGCTTTGTTTTGCACAATTGTGTTCTAGAGCTCGGACCTCCGTATTTTCGTCGTCGCTCGTTCGTCGTTCGTCCTCCCCCCGGCCGTCCTGGCCTTGCCCTGGACCCAGCCCTCCCTAACTCCCTTCGCTCTCCCCCCCCCGGCTCAGACCTCTTTTTTTTCGTCGTCGTCTTTCGTTCGTCGTTCGTCCTCCCTCTTGGCTGTCCTGGCCTTGCCCTGGACCCAGCTCCCCAGCTTCCCTCGCTCACCCCCCTCCGCTCGGACCTCTTTATTTTCGTCATCGTCGTTTGTTCGTCGTTCGTCCTCCCCCTTGGCAATCTTGGACTTGCTCTGGACCCAGCGTTCCCCAGCTCCCCTCGCTCTCCTCCCCGTGGCCCGCACTTCTTTATTCTCTTGGACAGCTGTTCTAAACCTCGAACCTCTTTATTTTCGTTCGTCGTTCATCCTTCCTCCTCCCCGAGCCACGGAAGAAAATTCCTGGAGGAAGGAGGCGAAAGCGTCTTGTCGTTCGCAGCTCTTTGGTGCAAAGCACGGGTACGCGTACCATTTATTTGCGTCGGTCTCTACGCGGCATTCCTCTTGGTCGGAAGTTGAGTTGAACATTATGCGACAAAAGAAATTGTACATCTGCAGTTTTATATAAGCCCAATGTCATTGCAAAGTATACCGTTTCCTTTTGATTCGCCGTACCAGTTGATAGGGATATATGGGTATCAACCGTTATTGTTTTAGTCGTGTCTTACATGTCGCGTCCCGTCGGAAATAACAGATAATTAAGATTTGAACCCCTTTGATGACCACCATGAAGCCATCGAACCATCGAATAAGAAGAGCACAAGAAAACATACGGTGCTCATACGATTTGACGTTACCATGGCGTATATGAGCTTTATGAGCACCTTTACGCGACGCATCGCGACGCAATGTAGCCAAAGAGTTTCGGGGTACACATATTCGCACGAATACATATACAAATATACTTCCCCTCTGCTGCCTCAGAGCTCGACATCGACGGGGCTGGAGCTGTCGATCAAATCTGCAGGACATTAACAAAATTATGCGCGTTGGCGAATGTCATGAGCATTTACCAATTCTTCAACGTGATACAGCATACCGCAAGGAAATGCGGGTGAAGAAAAAACGATGCATTGCCTGGGGTCGCGACCTGTTTTGCACCGCGTTCAAGGATCCCTAGCACCAGGCTCCCTCCCATGACATCGCGCCTACTTGGACGACACACACACACATATATATATATATAGATAGATATATATACATATATATATATATATATATATATATATATATTCATACACACAGACATATAGTCATACATATATCACAACCATACACACCTATACGCATGCATGTATATGCAATGTTTGCAATGCGACTGAAACGTCAATTATTTATGAGTTGGCGTGCGATACCTGACGGGAGGGTTGCCACATCACATCGATGTGTGAACATCTGGAAATGTGCAGCATGGAGCACATACCCAAGAACGCATGGGCAACCTGGAGCAGAGTCAATATTATAAGTGCTGGGGATGCTGATAGCCAAGGTCGCCGGCGAGAAGGCGAACTTATCGCTCAGAGGGCTGGTGGGATTACAGACATTACTTCATCTCCTTCTGTTTTAGGCATGGCTCTTGTTCTTTTGCTGCGTAATCCCGAGACAATCACATCTTGCGGACCATGCCGCCAACATAATGCAAGACTGCTGCCATGGCACAGGACAGCCATGATTTGAACACGTTCAAACTACTGTTGGGGATCCCAAACCCAAATTAACGCATTGAAGCAATGCACGGAATCACATTGATACGTGGGCGGCCTAAGCAAGAGTTCTTTTGAGATATAGCCGGAAAAGGATCGCACGGCTACGTACGACCAACATTGGCAATACAAAAAGCACGCGCGCCAAGAATCATACAGTCACGGATGCGGGATTATGGAAAATGCAAATGGCGCCAATTTGTGGTAGTTTTGGGAAGCGCACGAGTGCTGCGTCACGCCGGCGAGTGATTCGAATAGCAGTATGGCTGTGTGGACGCAGCGCGAAGCTCGACTTAAAGGCGATTCTAGTATGACAAGAGAAAAGTTTGCGAGGCACCAGCGGCGTGATTTATAACACAAGCCATTTGCATCGAGCAAATCGCTTAGTCCCAAGGAGGGGCGCACGATGGCATGCATAGCCAAGATCCGCCACCGTGTCTTCAGCGCGTTGTGGGGTGTTCTAAGGATCATGCAGCCTTGAGAGGCAAGGGGGTTGTAAGGTTCTCAAGGGCCCGGACCCTTGGTTTCCCAAGCGCTCTTGCGCAGGCCAGGGGTGTCGCCTGGGCTTTCGCGACGCTACGAGGGCCCGAAGACGTGCCGAGAGGGCCCCCAAAGATTTTCAAAATTGTGAAAAAGACCCCTGCCGCGAACGATCCGTCTTAGATGCCTACGATGGCCTCCAAACGGCCCAAGATGCTTCAAGAGGCCACCAAGAACCTTTCGGAGGGGCCCTAAGACACAAAATACATATATTGTTTATCATTGTTTGAAAGATTGCTCGCTTTTTGGATCCTCGGTATGGCTAAGCAGATGGGGGCCACTGGACGGGCGCGGGGGGGAGCAAAGGAACGGCGCACTGTCGGTCGGTCAGACGGGAGCGGAGGGGCGGAGAGGCGCAGTGGAAGGACGGGGCACGGTCGGTCGGTCGGAATGAGCAGACATGGGGTTACGTGGCGAAAAAATGCGGGGGAAAGTAAGGAAAGAAAGAGCGTTCCATGGTCGCTTGGATGGGGGGGGGGAACCGGACCCCCCCCCCCTCTTCGGATGGGAGGAGGGATGGTTTCGACCCCCCGCCCTTCCCTTTCCTACTTCTCAAATTTCCCTCTCCTCGGGCCAGCGCCTGCGTCGGCGGCGGCTGGCGGCGGCGGCGGCGAGGACGACGATTTTTTTTGTTGGGCCGGCGTTGGCGCCGGCGCTTGCGGCGGCGGGCGGTGGCAGCGGGGAGCGTCGACGAGGACGACGTGGTGGTGGTGGTGGTGGGTTGTGGTGGTGGTGGTGGCGGTGGTGGTGGTGGTGGCGGTGGTGGTGGTGGTTGTGGTGGTTGTGCGATGGTGGTGTTTGTTGTGGTGTTGTGGTGTGGTGGTGGTGTGTGGTGGTGTGTGTGGTGGTGGTGGTGCGGGTGCTGGTGGTGCGGGTGCTGGTGGTGGTGCTGGTGGTGCTGCTGCTGGTGGTTTGTTGTGTGGTGGTAATGGTGGTGGTGTGGTGGTGGTGGCGTGGTGTGGGTTTGTGGTGGTGGTGGTGGGTTGTGGTGGTGGTGTGGTGATGGTTTGTGGTGGTGGTGGTGGTGGTGGTGGGTTGTGGTGGTGGCGGTATTTTGTGGGGGCGGTGCTGGTGGTGGTGGTGGTGATGGTGATGGTGTGGTGGTTTTATGGTGGTGGTGGTGGTGGTGGTGGTGGTGGTGGGTTGTGCTGCTGGTAGTAGTGGTGGTTGTGGCGGTAGTGATGGTGGCGTGGTAGATTGTGGTGGTGGTGGTGGTAGTGGTGGTGGGTTTGCGTGGGTGCGGTGGTGATGGTAAGTTGTGGCGGTGGTGGTTATGGTGGTGGAGGTGGTGGGTTGACGCGGTGGTGGTGGTGGTAGTGGTGTGGTAGTAGAGGTGGTTATCATTGCTGCGTCCCCGCCGGCGCCGGCGCCAGCGCCGGCGCTGCTGGCCGCCGCCAGCGCCAGCGCCGGCGCCAAGAAGGGGAGGGGGTTGAACCCCCACCGCGCCTGCGCCACGGGCCAGGGGGGGGGTGAAACGCCCCCGTCCCTGGGTTTGAACCCGCCCCCCTTCCGCTCCCTCCCTTGAGGTGCTGTTGGTCATCGTCACTGCGTCCCCGCCGCCGGCGCTGCTGGTGGCCGCTAGCGGGGGTGGAGGGGAGGTTCGGGATGAAGGGGTTTGGGGAGGAGGGGCGTCCCCTTGGTTTTGATCGACGGCGCCGAGTGTTCGGGTGAGGGCGCCCATCCGCCAGGTCGAAACGCGCCGCCGCATGTTCTCAAGGCAAGCGCCCGTAAAACGCATTCTTTCCAAGGAAAAGTAACACAGTCGGGCAAGGTAGAGGCACGGTCGGTTGGTCGGTCGGCGTAAGTAAAGCAAGACTACGGGGCGAACGAGAGGTGCTGGGGGAGCAGGGGGACGGGGCAGGGCCGGTTGGTCGGTCAGAATAATTGAACAGACGAGGGCAATGGGACGGCACCGCGCGGGACAAAACAAACGGGAGCAAGAAGACACGGTCGGCCAAAGGGGGGCGCGCGGTCGGTCAGTCGGTCAGAATAAGCAAGTGGGGGGCCATTGGTGGTGGGATCGATTAAGGGGACGGGAGGGCCAAGTCGGCCAAAAGAAAGGGGGCACAGTCGGTCGGTGGTCGGTCGGAAGAATCAGAAGGGAGCTACGGGGCGGAAAAGCGCTGGAGAGTGAAGGACGGGGCACATTCGGTTGGTTGGTCGGAGTAAGCAAAAAGGAGCCATGGAGCGGAGGTGTGCGGGGGGGAGCAGAAAACGGGAGGGCACGGTCGAGCAAAGGGAGATTCGGCTTGTCGGTCGGTCAGGATCAACAGACAGGGGTTATGGGACGGAAAAGTGCGGAGGGACAGGTAGATCATACGGGGGCGGTACGCATGTCATTGCTCACTTTAATTTAGAAGCCCCAATACACCCAAATCACGCCTTAGCACGTATCTCAACGCACGAAAGCAATACGCATTTCAGCACCCAGCCCATAATCGTAAATCCCAGCATACGAAAACAACAAATGTCCCAACACACGTCCCAACGCACATCAACACATATCGTGCATCCCACACAAGGTCGGTCGGTCGGAATAGTGCAAATCGTACCAGTAGGTATGATGATATTCGGTCAGTGTACCATCTCGGGGGTTTACATAGAATACGCTACATTTAATGGTTGAACAGCGACCCAAGTATTTAATCACCGTCGTGGAATTCGCCTGAAGAGAAACCGAAATCGTCCGCGCAGGTGGTGATGATATAAACTGGCCGAAGGAGGGGAAGATAGGCTCGCCGAAGACAAGGATCCACTGCTAATGCGAAAATGGCGCCGCCCAGAGGGGCACCACAACTTTACTCTTCGCAAAGCGACTGCCAAAACGAAGCCAGCAACGATTGTTGTAAATGAGTTGCTTCAAAGCACGCTGGCGTCAAACTCATGTTGTTTTAATGCACGCCGGCGGCAAGTTCATATAAACCGTGACCAGAAAGATAAACGGATGAGGAAACGACGGCAATACAACTCGTGTGCCACAACATGTTTTTACCGCCTGCCATTCAACCGAGGAGCGGTGTTCAATGTCGTGTGCTCTCATCAACTAAGCCCCGCTGTACATACACTGTAGTGGTAGACGCTTGCTCACCCAAGCTATTGTTGATGAGCATGGTAACGATAGGGTTGACAGAATGGGATAAACATGCGGTGGGGTTGTTTCCGCTTGCCTCCATGCTTCAGAATGATATTGTGTGATCGATTTGTTTGTATGTGTACGGAGAGTGCGTAATTGGAATCGCCATTGACTTCGCCACCACAGCGCACACATACATTAGATGTGGTAGATGCAACCCACGCA